GGGAGCCCGATGCAGGGCTCGATCCCAGGACCCTGGGATCATGACCTGAGCCGAAGGCAGACGCTTAACGACTGAGCCACCCAGGCGCCCCCCTAATTGTCTTCTTTATAAGCCTGCTTTTTTCTGCTTCGAGACCAAAGGCATTTTTTTGCTTGGGTCCCTTTTGCTGTTTTGCTTTTATGGAAATGTCTTCATCGTCATACCTACTTCCCCTAAAGTAGTTTATGGTTGTGCTTGAAATGACACCAAAAAGGAAGTGCATTGTTTAATTTAGGAAAATAAGGAAGTGAAGTGGTACTGATTTAACATTAATGGGCATAGAAATGGCTTTCTGCCCTCCTGCCGGGGAAAACCTTAAACCTTAAACACAGTTTAGAATCTAATCAGTCCTAACATTTTCTTAATTATGGTCATATCATGGAATTTACTCCACCCTCAGTTTGAACTTCTGCCCTTTACGGATGTTCTTTATTTGTTCATTTGCAAGCCTTTAATTCGTGCCCATCGTGTACAGGACTGAAACGAGAAGAAATGGTTTCTGCCTTCAAGAAGTGTCCACCCAGGGTGCCTGGGTGGCTCAGTTGGTTAAGTGACTGCCTTTGGCTCAGGTCATGATCCTGGAGTTCCAGGATCCAGTCCCGCATCAGGCTCCCTGCTCGGCAGGGAGTCTGCTTCTCCCTCTGCCCCTCCCCCCTTTCATGTGCTCTCTCTCATTCTCAAAGAAATAAACAAAATTAAAAAAAAAAAATTGCTGGAATTAAAAAAAAAAAAAAGTGTCCACCCATATTTGTTAGGAAGTTACCACAGTCTACTTAAGTTTCAGAGTAATTATAGTCAGTCTATTATAATTTCAGAAAAACATCTGTTGAAGTGTTGTGTACCTTAAATAAATGGAATCTTTCAGGGTTGCTGACAAACCAAAAGATCAGTTTCTCAGAATTTTCTCAGAGAAATGATGACATTTGAGAATGACAATTTTGTTTTGATCTAGATTCTTATTGTTGCATTTGCCTGTCTTGAAAGTAGGAAGTAAAGATTAATTTTACTGTTTCTAGGAATTTTCCTCTGAATATATATCTATATACTGTAGCCCACTCTTACGTTGAGGGTCCATGTGGTGGGGTTGCCTTTTTAAATAAAGGCCATTACGATAAGCTTCTTTGGTCTTTTTGTAACTAAGCATCTCATTATTATAATAACAGCATTACTCTGAAGCTGAATCATGTTGAGTTTTATCTTGCAGAATACTGTTCCCCTCCATAGTTTACTCCCAGAATATGAACTATAACTCATTATGCTTTCTGGCTGAATTATTTATATTTGCCGTCTTCTCTATTCCTGTTGTTGAATTGCTTAGTTTCTTTATATTATTATGTGTTTAAAAGTAGACATTAATCCAATTCTTGGGCGCCTGGGTGGCTCAGTCGTTAGGCGTCTGCCTTCAGCTTGGGTCATGATCCCAGGGTCCTGGGATCAAGCCTCGCATCGGGCTCTCTGCTCCATGGGAAGCCTGCTTCTCCCTCTCCCCTCCCTCTGCTTGTGTTCCCTCTCTCGCTGTGTCTCTCTCTGTCAAATAAAATCTTAAAAAAAAAAAAAAAATTCCAATTCTTATTTTCATTGTGGTGGTTAAAGTTTCAAATTAGGAGATGGCGTTGGTTTTTACCACTTAAATCCCTAACTTCATGATCTATTTGCACAAGTCTAAAGAGGCACTATATTATAAGTTAGTTAATTGCCTCTAGTTATATTTGACTTTTGGATTGTGGAGAAAAAGAATTTCCCCTTTTATAGGGGGCAGAGGGAGGAGTCCCATGACCATATTCACTATGTATTTGTTAAGACTTACGTATGAGATTTTAGGTCTACATTCTTTCAGGCTTTCAGAGATCCCAGTACATACATTTATTTATTTATTTATTTAGTTTGTTTGTTTATTTTTTAAAGATTTTATTTATTTATTTGACAGAGACACAGCGAGAGAGGGAACACAAGTGGGGAAGAGGAAGAAGCAGGCTTCCCGCTGAGCAGGGAGCCTGATGTGGGGGGCTCGATCCCAGGACCCTGAGATCATGACCTGAGCAGAAGGCAGATGCCTAATGGCTGAGCCACCCAGGCCCCCGCCCCCCACCAGTACATTTAAACTGGCTAAAGTGATTCCTTAAAAATGTTTCCATGATTTGGTCTCTGTGCAAAGGGTTGTGAAAGTCATAGATAAGGGAATATTTGTGGTCACTGGGACCTATTTTAGTCTTTAGATAGTCTGAAAAGGGCTCAAATACTGGTTTACGGTAGTGGTTTCACTTCTGTGCTAAAGGGCAGCTTGGGCAAAAGTTTCTTCCCCTCCCTCCCTCCCTCCCTTCCTATTTTATTTTTAAGTAATCTCTGCACCCAACATGGGTCTCAAACTTACAACCCTGAGATCAGGAGTTGCATGTTCTACCAACTGAGCCAGCCCAGCACCCCAGTTTTTTCAGATTTCTGAAGTAATTTTAGTTTCTTTGGGCCAAAGAACTGTGTGTGCATGTGGGGGTGTGTGTGTGTGTGTGTGTGTGTGTGTGTGTGTGTGTGTGTGTGTCTATCTTTGTCTTGACAAAGGCAAGTTTCCCCACCGTATAAAATGGAGAATGAAGATAAATATAATAGTCTTAATGTTTTGGCTTAAACTGATGAAGTGATTTTTTTTAATCTTTGTTTTGTTGACATTATGCCAGTGTGTAAATTTATGTGATTTTAAAATAATGTTTTTGAATCTAGATCAGATCAAGCGTCGGTTTACTCTCTAACAGTCAGCTGAAAGCGACTTCGCAAGTTTCTTCAAGATGCCTGCAGCACTTGTGGAGAACAGTCAGGTTATCTGTGAAGTCTGGGCCAGCAATCTAGAAGAAGAGATGAGGAAGATCCGAGAAATTGTGCTCAGTTACAGTTATATTGCCATGGTAAAGAGCTAAACTCTGTTTGACTCACTTTCTACTATGGACTTAGGGGATATTCAGTGTGAGATTTTGAAAGCAAGGGTTACACTAAAGCCATGGTAAATTAAACTTGGTGGAAGGTTGTGATGCTTTTATGAAATGTCAAGGTAGTCATTGTGTCTGAGAAGGATGTAACCTCTAGTAGCTTAGATTTTCTGTAATGTTACTTTGTGTTTAATAGTGTTTAAGGCAGAAGTTATGTCAGCCCATAGGGCACATCTGTCCCGCAGATATGGTGAATTTGACAGTGTTTAAAAATGGTTTTTAAAAATTAGCTATCAGCATGTAAAAATTAAGAGATCTCTTTTAAAGTCCAGATATCTGGCATCTCTGGAAAAAAATGGGAAGATCTGGCATTACAGGATTCACAGTCCTGCCTGATACTGAGTGGTGGGAGAGGCAGATGTGTGTCATGGTGATATTAAGGCCTCTCCTAGAGGAGCCGTGCACGGTCTAGTTTGCTTTAGTCCCTGTTACTCATAAGCAGTAAGTCTTTAGCCTTGTATTTAAAACTGTCTGTGATCTTGTTCCAGGCTTTTTACTCATGGTAAATGTAGCTATTGTTTTTTTCTTGAATGGCTGTTTCATTTCCTTCTATTTGTATTTTTATTCATACATTGTTCTCAACCTAAGCTTTTTTTTTTTTTTAAAGATTTCATTTATTTGAGAGAGAGAGAGAGGGAGAGCACAGAGGAAGCATGAGAGAGAGAAGCAGGCTCCCCGCTGAGCAGAGAGCCTGACAACCTGATGTGGGGCTTGATCCCAGGACCCTGAGATCATGACCTGAGCCAAAGGCAGCGGCTTAACCCACTGAGCCACCCAGGCGCCCCTCAACCTAAACTTTTTTTAATTCACTATATATGAATGTAAAATGTTCTTAATTGATCTGTAGTTAGTCACCTACTCTAACTCACATCCTGCTTAGGATTTGAAGTTGCTGCGCAAAACTTCATGATTCTAGTACTATTTGTGTAGATATCAATGAGATCAGTATTTTTTTTTTTTTTGTAAAGATTTTATTTATTTATTTGAGAGAGAGAATGAGAGAGAGAGAGCACATGAGAAGGGGGAGGGTCAGAGGGAGAAGCAGGGAGTCCGATGCGGGACTCGATCCTGGGACTCCAGGATCATGACCTGAGCCGAAGGCAGTCGCTTAACCAACTGAGCCACCCAGGCGCCCGAGATCAGTATTTTAATATAGGTATTTGTGCCCAAGCTTGGGTCTTGTCACATAACTTTTATAAATTAAGATAATATTTAAGAATGATCAATTCAGCATCTACTGTTTTGTGAAACCTTATGATGAGAGACCTTTTCCTTTTCTAGGACACAGAATTTCCAGGTGTTGTCGTACGACCAATTGGTGAATTTCGTAGTTCCATAGATTACCAGTATCAGCTTTTACGGTGCAATGTTGACCTTTTAAAAATTATCCAGCTGGGCCTTACATTCACAAACGAAAAGGGAGAATATCCTTCTGGAATCAACACTTGGCAGTTCAACTTCAAATTTAACCTTACGTAAGTGTCTGAAACATTTCTCAGTGTTATTCTTAGATCTGCTACATTTGTGCAGACTGTGATTTCTAACTGATTTTATTAATATGAAGTTTTGTTTCCATTGAAACCAGGTAAGGGTTGGGCACAGCATTCAAATAGAGGATGGAATAAGGAATCTCAGAAAGTAAAGTCCCCCTTAAAAGAACTCTTGCAGGTCAGCAATAAAAAGACAACCCAATTAAAAATGGGTATCAGATCTGAATAGACAGTTCTCCAAAGACGATATAGATATGGCTAATAAACCCATGAAAAGATGGTCACCATAATTAGTCATGAGGGAAATGCAAATCAAAATGACAGTGAGAGACCACTTTATACCCACCAGGTGGCTGTAATAAAAAAGACACAACAAATGTTGGCAAGGGTGTAGAGAAATTAGAACCCTCATATATTGGCTATTGGGAAAGTAAAATGGTGTAGCCTCTTTGGAAAACAGGTAGTTTCTCAAAAGGTTAAATGTGGAGTTAGGCCCCAAGTGGAAACAATCCAAATGTCTGTGAGCTGATGGATAAAACAAATATGGTATATCCATGCCATGGAATGTTATTGGACAGTAAAAGGAAAGTAGTAGTAATATATGTTGTATATTGATGTGCTTTGAAAACATGCTAAGGGAAAGAAGCCAGACACAAAAGACCACATATTGTAGGATTCTGTTTATATGAAATGTTCAAAATAGGTAAATTGATAGAGTCAGAATAGGTTAGTGGTTGTCTATGATGTAGGGGGGTGGTGAGATTATAGGGTAGTGGGGAGTGATTGCATAATGGGTATGGGTTTTCTTTTTGAGGTAATAAAATGGTTTAGAATTGACTATGATGGGTGGTTGCACAACTCTGAAAATAACTAAAAGTGATTGAATTGTATACTTTATTAAAAAATTTTTTTTTTAAAGATTTTATTTATTTATATGCCAGACAGAGAGAGTGCACAAGCAGGGGGCGTGGCAGGCAGAGGGAGAAGCAGGCTCCCCGCTGAGCAGGGAGCCTGATGCAGGGCTCAATCCTAGGACTCTGGGATCATGATCTGAGCCAAAGGCAGATGCTTAACCGACTGAGCCACCCAGGTGTCTTTTTTTTTTTAAATTTTTAAAAAAAGATTTATTTGAGAGAGAGAGTGTGTGCGTGGGGGTGGGGGTTGGAGGGGTAGAGGAAGAGGGAGAGAGAGTCTTAAGCAGACTCCATGCAGAGGGTAGAGCCTGATGCATGTTATGACCCTGAGATCATGACCTGAGCCGAAACCAAGAGTCAGTCACTTAACTGACTGTGCTACCCAGGCACCCTGAAGTGTGTACTTTATTTTTTAAAAAGATTTTATTTATTTATCCGAGAGAGAGAGAGAGAGAGAGAGAAAGGGAGGGAGGAAGAGAGAGGGAGAGATCACAAACAGGGGGGAGGGGTAGAGGGAGAAGCAGGCTCCCTGATGAGCAGGGAGCCCGATGTGGGACTTGATCCCAGAACCCTGGGATCATGACCTGAGCCGAAAGCAGACATTTAACCGACTGAGCCACCCAGGTGCCCAGAAGTGTATATTTTAAATGAGTAAATATTTAATGTGTGAATTATAGCTTAATAAGGCTATTTACAGCGAAAAAGTAAAGTTAATTCTCCAGTTAGGAGGTGAATTGTGGTTCTGCCATTTTTCATCTGGGTGATTTGGGGTTAGTAATTTTACCTTCTGTAATTCAGTTTCCTTAACTGTAAAACAGGATTATTATTATTTTTCATAATAGAAGAAATAAGGGAATGAGTAGATGTTAATTAAGGGTAGTTGAAACTGAAGCCTATCTGATAGTGGGTGAATTTTGATGTTTTTAAAATACGGTAAACACATAACATAAAATTTACCATCTCAGCCATTTTTAAGTCTGCAGTTCAGTAGTATTAAGTATGTTTGTGTTGTTGTGAAGCAGACCCCCAGAACTTTCTCATCTTGTAAATCTGACACTCTACCCATTGAACAACTCTCCCTTTTTCTTCTCCAGATCTTGGTGAACCACAATTACTACTTTCTGTTTCTATGAATTTGTTTTAGTTACCTCATATAAGTGGAATCATACAGTATTTGTCATTTTGTGACTGGCGTATTTCACTTAGCATGATATCCTTAAGGTTCATCCATGTTGTGGCATATTGCAGAATTTCCTTCCTTTTTAAGACTGAATAATATTCCATTGTATATTTAGACCCCATTTTGTTTATCTGTTCATTCATTGATGGACATTTAGGTTGTTTCCACCTCTTGACTGTTAGGAGTAGTGCTGCTATGAAGATGGATGTGCAAACATTTTCACAACTGTGCTTTTCATTCTTTTGGATATATACACAGAAGTGGGATTGCTGGATCATTTGGTAGTTTGTTTTTAATTTTTTGAGGATGATGTAATTTTTTTTTCTTTCTTTTTTGAGAGAGAGAGCATGCACGAGAGCGTGCATGTACATGCGGGGGAGGGTTGGGGAGGGGCAGAGGGAGTCTGCAGTCAGTGCAGAGCCTGGTGCAGGGCTCGATCTCAGACCCTGAGATCATGACAAGAGTCGAATGCTTAACTGACAGCCACCTATATGCCCCAGGATGATGTAATTTTTTAAGGGGAAAATTTAGGTGAGACTATCATTTTGCTGATTGTATGAGGTAGTTTTAGTGTATTTCTGATTGGGCCACAGTACTCAAGTAGTGCTTTATTTAACAGCACCAGGAGCATTATAACTCAGGAATAATTTTTTGATTGTTCGTGTACTTTGGAGATTTCTTTGAGGTTCAGAAATAATTTGGGATGATGATCTGGATCTTTAACTGCATTTTTCCATTGCCAAAGCCTATTATTTATGCCTTAATGGTAATTAATACACAAAGGAAAATAAGGGTTGTTTGTTATTGTAGAATTTATGTATGTGTTTAAAACAATGCTTGTTTTAGGTGAAACAAAACAATGTGATTCAACACTGGTTTTAATTTAGTAGAAAAAAAAATTTTTTTTTTTTTAAAGATTTTATTTATTTATTTGACAGAGAGAGAGACAGCGAGAGCAGGAACACAAGCAGGGGGAGTGGGAGAGCCCGATGCGGGGCTCGATCCCGGGACCCCGGGATCATGACCTGAGCCAAAGGCAGACGCTTAACGACTGAGCCACCCAGGCGCCCTAGTAGGAAAAATTTAAGATTATGTTTGTTTTTTCTTTTTCCAAGTTGTCCTAAGTTTATCTGAAAAACAAATGTAAAAACAGTGAAATCTAGTAGAAAAGGAGTTACATAATTTATTTCCCTACTTTTATAATACGTGGTATTGTAAATATTCCTCTGTTTAAACTGATGGGTGTATCTTTGCTGTGGGATATTATGCCAGAGTTGCAAAGGATGTGGTATATCTATGAGCATTGGTCTGGAAAGATGGTCTGTGCTGTGTAGATATAGGGATGGAGATGTGTATGTGTAGGTAGAGCAAATAGCCTTCAAGGATATATAAACTGAGTTATTAACAGTTATTTCTATGATGTAACATTATAAGAACATTTTTAAAAATTTTCTGGTAATCTAAATATTTTTGTATTGGTTAATTCTGTTTTTCTGTAAACAATGGGGAAATGTTGAGGTGTCTGGATGGCTCAGTTGGTTAAGCATCTGCCTTTGGCTCAGGTCATGATTCCAGGGTCCTGGGATCGAGCCCTGCATCAGGCTCCCTGCTCAGTGGGGAGACTGCTTCTCCCTCTCCTGCTTCCCCTCCTTGTGCTCTCTATCTCTGAAATAAATAAAAATCTTCAAAAACAAATACAAACAAACAAACAATGGGAAAATGTGGATCTTTCATAATTAAGAAATTCATTTTGTGGGGGCAAGTCTCACTTTTCCATCAGCCACAGAGATAAGATTATCTACTTTGCATGCTTTGCTGGAGTACTGGAAAGAATGAATTGATCTATTCTTAAATTATGAAAGCATTTCGAGAATACTTGTTCTGTAATTATAAGATCATGTTGATATTGCTGCCCACTACTTCTCTTAGATTATCCACCAGCTAAGAAGTGAATACCTTCTTTTTTAGAGAGGACATGTACTCCCAGGATTCCATAGATCTCCTTGCTAACTCTGGACTGCAATTTCAGAAGCATGAAGAGGAAGGGATTGACACGTTGCACTTTGCAGAACTGCTTATGACATCAGGGGTGGTTCTCTGTGACAACGTCAAATGGCTTTCATTTCATAGGTCAGTCCCAGATAATGTGTATTTCTCTTGCTTTGGGAGCAGGGAATTCAATGCTTATATTATTTCTGCAATCCTACTGGCTATCTTCTTTTGGTCACTTATGAAGCAGTTACGGAGTTCAAATGGTAATTTGCCCATGTTTCAGTTTTTCAAAAAATACTTTGGAGCTCATACTGGTTTGTTTCATGCAGTACTGGGCTCCGTCACATGGCTATCAGTGGGTATGTTCCAAGTGGAATGATGGAGGGTGGGGAGGATCGAAGCACTTGATCATCTTTTTCTTGTCCTTTAAATGGCTGGCCTGAAGTTTATGATGAATAAAACCCACATTTATAACTCCTTGGGTTCTCTTGTATGTCTCTCATATTAGTCTGGTTTGTTGTTATTTAAGGGAAAGTTCAGATTACAGTAGGATAAAGTAGTTTGGAAGACTGAAAGTTACTCACAAGGTAGCACCATTAAGTTTTGAGAAATGAAGCAGTTGAACTCTGGGGTCTGGTAATTGCTGCTTTTTCACCTAATTGCCTCATTCTCTCTTGTAGTGGCTATGATTTTGGCTACATGGTAAAGTTACTTACGGATTCTCGTTTGCCAGAAGAGGAGCATGAATTCTTCCATATTCTGAACCTTTTTTTCCCATCCATTTATGATGTGAAATACCTAATGAAGAGTTGCAAAAACCTTAAGGTATATTATTTTTTTTTTTTAAGATTTTATTTATTTATTTGACAGAGAGAGACACAGTGAGAGAGGGAACACAAGCAGGGGGAGTGGGAGAGGGAGAAGC